CCATGGAGTCGGATCTGACTCATAGTGACCCCTCCTTGGGTTTCTGAGGCAGTATCTCTATGGAAGTAGATTGCCCAACCTTCCTTTCAAGGAGTGGCTGGTGGGTTTGAACCACCAGCCTTCAGGTTAGCAGTCAAATGCCTTAGGCACTATGCCACCTGAGCTTCTAAAGCTTATATAGAGAGGTTATATATATATAAAGCTTATATAGAGAGCTTACATCTTATATATAAAACTTATATAGAAAGAGACAATAAGATAGAGAAATTTATCTCAGGAAAATAGTTCACATAGTTGTAGAGGCTGGCAAGTCCCAAGTTCCTGGCTCAAAGTCAAGCTGGAGGATTTTCCCGACTTACAGTGTTGCAGGAGCTGAGGAGCTCAAGGCTGGCAGGCAGTATAGCAGGCTGCTGACCTCAGCATATGGCAAATCCAAGATGCACGGCAAAATAGCAGATTTCTGGACAGTTGTAGAGGCTGGCGAGTCCCAGGTTCATGGGCCAAATGTCAAACTGGAGGCTCTTCCTGACTCACATAACTGCAGGTGTGATGAACCCAAGATCAGGAGGCAGCGTGACATGATCTAGATCCAACAGAAAGTTCCTGAATTTTCCCAGGACATCCATATATATTGGAAGCAGGCCACACCCCCAAGGAAACTCCCCTTCAACTGAATGGCTGCTCAAAGCATAGCCCTCTATGGAGGCAACCCCCTTGCATCAGATCTCATCATGGGATCGACCACACCACAGCTACTCAAACCACTCAGATCATGGTCCAGCCAAGTTGACACACAACCTTAACTACCACACTTGCTAACTCTGCTCCAGACACATTGGGCTTCATGTGGTCGTTCAAGTTCCTCCTGCCACAGAACTTCTGCACTTGCTATTCCCTCAGCCTGTAACACTGTTGCCCATGTATAAACGTAATCTGTTAGTCTGCTACCTCATCTCCCCAGTCTCCATTCAAATGTCACCTTCTCAGTGGGTCTTTCCCTGTCACTCTATCTAAAAATCTAATACCCTCCTAACACTCCCTATCTACTTTCCCTGGCTTGTTTTTCATCCTAGCTCTTCTCACCATCAAATAAAACTTTTTTTTTTTTTTTTTTTGCTTATGTGTTTTACTTATTTTATGTATTGCCCCATAAGAATGGGAAATTTTGTCTGCCTATTCACTAATCTATTTGCATCACCCAAAACAGTCCCGAGCACATAACATGTGCTCAATACATCTGAATGGATGACTACATTGTTGAATGGATGAATAAATGAGGATCCATTTTATTATTATTTGTTGGCCAAACCATATTTTAAAAAGGGAAATGAAGTTTTGCCCTCAATTTCAGTAGTCAACCATTCAAACAGTTCTATTTCTGATAGGGAACATGCACAATATTTTATTCAGTTGTGATCCTAGTGAATGGAGGTATAGCTTTGCAAGCTATGTGTTTTCATTTGACTGTATATAATGATGCTCTTTTGCTTAAGATTTATGTGGCTGATTACACTCTTGAACAGTCTTATTTCCTGTCAGAAAGCAAATCTATACCTAAACCACAGCAAAGAGATCAGAATTTATTCTGTTTAGCACTTTTTTATTGCAACAAACATTAAAATTGCTAATCATATAATAAATCCTGAAGTAGAAATCACTATTCCCATTTTCAGTTGGCAAATGGATCATCCCATAGAATTCAGCTACCTGAGTTCTCTAGGTACTTTGCACTTGGACCTGGAGAAACTCAGGTTGCCTGAACTGCATTCACATCAGCAAACAGCTATTATAGAACACTAGAGGCATGGTGCCCTGGTACATACAGTATTGTGAAATTGTGTTCATGCTACCTCCAAGCCTGTGATGAGCCAAGAATGGGGTACTGGGCACACTAGATCTATCCCAAATCTTGGGTTCTACCTGCAGGTTGGAAAGAGTAATGAATAAGGAAGAATGCCAAGCCTTGACTTTACACATGAAAAAGAAGTCTTCAAAACAGCACTTATTAGGTCAATGCCACACTAGTCAGTAAATCTGTTATCCAGCCTGGGTGAGGGTAACTAAAACCAGAAAACAACAACAACAACAACAAAAAAAGACCATTGCTAGCATGTCGATTCCCATAGAGAGACTATAGGCCAGAGTGGAAGTGTCCCCAGAAGGTTTCCAAGACTGTAAATCTTTATGGAAGGAGACTGTCGTATCTTTCTCTTACAGGGCAGCTGATGAGTTCAAATGGCTCCAACTCATGGTGATTCCATGTGTACATGGATGTCCTAGAACTGCTCTAACAAAGTACCTTTCATTGAATAGCTGAGTGCTTAACTATTGTGCCACCAGGGCCCTTTCAGGGTAGCAGATGATTTTTTTTTTTTTTTTAATTTCATAATGTATGCTTTTCCATCAACCAGGTAATGGAGGTATTATGTGAAACTCCTAATGCCCCTGAGATCAATGAGCTGAGACAAATCCTGGAGGGTCCACACTTTAAGGCAAGTGCTTACTACAATAGACAAGATATGCTCATCTGTCACAGAGACAAGGTTGGGAAGGAGAAAGAAATGTGATAGAAAGTGTGCTCTCTGAATAGATGGTCTATTTCTGTTGTTGTTAGTTGCCATCGAGTTGACACCAACTCATGGTGACCCCATGTGTACATGGATGTCCTAGAGCTGCTATAACAAAGTACCATAAATTGGGTCGTTTATAAAAACAGCTATGTATTGCCTCACAGTTCTGGAAGCTGGGAATCTAAGACCAGGGTGTCTCCTGTGTTAATTCCTTCTGAAGCGCTGAGGGAGAATCTGTGTCATGCCTCTCTCCTAGCTTCTATAGCTCCACACATTCCTTGGCTTGCAGCTGCAGTGGCACATGACATCCTTCTTGTGTTTCTTTGTGTTCTCTTTTATGAATCATTTAGATTGGACTCCCACTAACCACTGCCATCAAGTTGATTCTGACTCATAGTGAGCCTATAGGACAGAAACCCAGAGGGTTTCCAAATCTGTAACTCTTTATGGTAGCAAACTGTCACATCTTTCTCCCATGGAATAGCTGGTGGATTTGAACTGCCAACATTTTGGTTAGCAGCTTAGTGCTTTAACCACTGGATCAGGACCCACCTAACTTCAGTGTGAGAAGCCTAGTGGTGCAGTGGTTATGTGACCAACAGGACACACTCAAAAATGTGGGACTCAGATGCCACTGACACACTCCTGTCAATCAGGGAGCCAGCATGCTGTACTTATGAAGAGTTATTCAGAATTTTCCATTGTCCTCTGTTTCCCAAGTAATTGTCCACCTAAAATTCTGAGGAGCATTCAGGGTAGCTTCCTTTCCAATTTGGGAGTATTTTAAATTTTGGATGAAGTGTGTAAAATTATTCAGAGTATAATGTATAATGATGAGTAGCTCTATGAAAAGGGGATATTCGAAGAACATTTGATTCCAGAACAGAAAACTACCTGTTAGTACTTATAGATGTTCTGATCAATTTATCAACACATTAGAACTGCGAGGACATCTGCATTTGGAGCAATATTTATGAATAAGAAATATTTAGATCACAAGATAATCATTAGTTATCAAATATCCTCGACAACAGATACTACCTAGAAAACTTCCTCTGAGTTCCAATTAAATTTTGTCCACCAAGCTCAGGCAGGGCTAAAGAATGACATCTTCCCCATCCCATGCAACACAAACCTAAAAAAGTAGGCATAGAAGGAATTTTTTGATCATACCCTAAACCAGGGTACTACTTTTTCTCATTCCGTTCCACTTGGGCCCTTGAGTGTTACTGAAAAATTAAACCAGTGAGATGTTTTGATTACTGCCTCTTATTCTGCCTTAATTAGGAAAAAAATATTTTAAAAATTGCTTTGTAGTTCAATCTCTAGGAGCACCATGGATTACATGAGTTTTCAAGAAATGAAATAGTCATGGAATAATATGTTTTGTCATTGTTGTTGTTAGGCATTATCGAGTTGGCTCCAACTCATAGTGACCCTGTGTACAACAGAATGAAACTGACCAGTTTGAGCCATGCTCACAGTCCTTGCTACACTTGAGCCCATTGTTGCAGCCACTGTGCCAATCCATCTTGTTGAGGGTCTTCCCCTTTTCTGGTGACCCTCTACTTTACCAAGCATGATACACTTTAGCAGCAATGAAAGAACACACTATGTATTAATTAACCTCTCTGTGCCTTGTTGGCTTATCTGTAAAATGGAGATTATAAATGTATCTGTCTCAAGAACTATTGTGGAGATTAAGTGAGTTAATCTATATAAAATACTTAGTACAGTGCCTGGCACGTATATGGTATTGGTGGTGGTGATAGTTGCTGTGTATGTCCTACATGGTGCTGAGTCACCACGTTCTAGATGGGTATGTCCTGTGTGTGATGTTTGTCCACCTTTTCCTTTTCTGTTCCCAGGCCTTGCTCAGTGCCCATGACACTGTAGCTCAGAAAGATTTTGAACCCTTACTGCCCCCACTCCCAGACACTATCTCTGAAAGTGAGGAAGCAATGAGGATTGTTTGCTTGGTGAAAAATCAACAGCCCCTGGTAAGGAGATCATTTTATCTTTTCATTTGAATTATACCAAGGTTAATTGTGACCTTAGTTGTCTTTAGTATCTACTTGGACAATATTCTTATCTATGCTCGCACATATAGTTTGAGGCATTCAGAAAATATAAGAGGTACTCATGTTAAGAATGGCTACAAACTTAAAGATTAACGTTCTCACGTGTACTTTAAACATATTACATGTCATAATCCTTTCATTTAGAAAATATTTCTGTTTAATATTTTTCTTTTTTGAAATAGCTGTAAGAAATAAGATGTATCTATTTTATTTATTTATTTGACTCTCTGATGCACACATGTATTTCACTCAATCCTAATACATTTGCATTCATCTCCTCTATTAGTGGGAAGCAAGGTAAGATATTAACTTGATTTTCTAAGAGTAGACCCTCTGATTATGTTGTAATTGCAGGAACTTTCTTTATCTTTGGAAAGATCTAAATATATTCTTTTTTGTCTATGGAGTTGGATAGAGGCTTTGGGTGGCCAAGGTTTAAGGGCCTTTCCTTTTTGACAACATGGATGATTGGCAGGCATCAGGGCCCTCTCCATCCCCTCTCTCCCTGTTTGGTATAAATATTCTTGTCTGAAAGAGCAGAGCTGAGTTGAAGTAAGCCAACACATAAAAGAAGTCACATCAGATGTAAAAGGGATTCCATTATTCTCTCTCTGTAGGGAGCCACCATCAAGCGCCATGAGATGACAGGGGATATCCTGGTGGCCAGGGTCATCCACGGTGGGCTGGCTGAGAGGAGTGGTAAGCTGGAGCAGCTAAGTACAAGTGTGATCAGAAAATAGGAAACCCTTGATTGTTCAGTCCTCTTTTCAGGCGAACCTCTTTTCTAACTAAGGTCAGGGCTTTAATGAGTCCCACTGCTTGGTTAACACAACAAACAGGAAGGAACAAATATTCCAGAGACATCTCATTCCCTTTCTTCAATGAGTCCCTCCCATTCTAGGCACCATATTAATATTCTCAGTTTATATTCTCATGGCAATCTAACAAGGTAGAATTATCATGCCATTTGATGGATGAGGAAACTGAGGCTCAAAGAGATTCAGTGACTAACTTGTCCAAGGCTACACAGCTAGAGCCAGGATTCAAGTCCAGGTCTCCCTGACTCTGTACTTCCAACTTTCCATGTATGCTTGGTACTTCTGCTTCAAAAAAGCATGGCTCTTCTCCATTTGGGAATACCTTTTGCCTGCTCTTTCTACCAGTCAGTCAAATTTCCTTCCTTTCACTGATGTATTTCTGAAATGAGTGATTCTACACCTGCTGTCCCTGTCCTCACTATGCACAGCCCTTGAAGCCTGGCACATGGTTTATACCTCAACATTGGTAATTACTCCAGGAATTTTCTAGTTGCTAAATCTATCAGCCATTCCTTCATCCTCAGTTTTATTTTTTCTCTCTCTACCACATTTACTGATGTTGACCATACTCTTTATTATTATTATTATTAATTTCATATATCTGTTTTTGGGGAGGACCTATTAACATCTTCCAGAATACTCACATTTCATGGAACACTATTGGAAAGCCCTAATTTACAGCAAGGAGCTCTGATAGCATAGTGGCTAAGGCATTTGACTGCTAACCAGAAGGCTGGAGGTTCAA